CATCCTGTCCTTGGTTATGTTATGGACTTTTTCTTTACATTTTAATTATAATTTCTGTATCAGATTATGTATCAGTATCCTCAAAAAGGTAAAGATCATACATTGTAACCTTATAGATTGTTGCTTCCATATGAGCGGAGTGTGAAGAATGATGAAGTCAAGGAACGACGCCGTTCAAAGTCTATCAAATGTGAAAATGATAAAATACCAGGAACACATGAACAGGTGGAGCGTCATGTGAAATCACCTTCTTGTACTGTAACATCAGCTCAGGACAATAAGGTATACCCTTTTATACAGTGCATTGTTACATTAGGACAGTGCTTTTGAAAGCATGGGTTGCAAAACTTTTACACAACAGTTTTAATGGTTGAGAGAGCCAGTAAATTATGATGGTTCTTCCATGTTGGTGTGTTATTTTCATGAATTCATACTTCAGATACTTTATGTATTGAAAGTGAACATAATATTCAGCATTTATCATCTTGTGAAGTTTACAAATTCTTTTCACTCTGAGTGATTATTATAGATGATTTGAGATGAAATGTTCATTGTACTGCTTTGCATCCTGTGTTTTTTTGCTCCCCTCCCTCCCAAATCAGGGCACATTTTGTCTGTGATGGACTGACTGAAGTAATTTGTTGTGCAGAAGGAATTCACATAGCATTTAATTTTTTCTCAGATTGCTGTACCTAGTGGAGGCCAAATGGACAAGGCCATTGTTCTTGAAGGCAAGACTTCGTCCTTACGAAGTGTTAGAACAAAATCAGACAAGACTGTACAAGATTCAGCAGTCTCTCAACGTCCTAAAGACAAAGAAAATATTCCTGTGTCAAATTTAACGGATGGATTGGTAGTAGAAGTGAAACAGGAGCCATCAAGTGAAGGAAGTGCAAATGAGAAACCTACACCTGAGTTGATAGACCTTGTTTCTGAACAAGATTCATCTGCAAAAGTCATCAAAACATCACCTGTACCTGCACTCAAGAAGCGCAAATTAGAGATCCTTAAAGAAGGTGGGCTGGAAGTGACTGCCATAACACCACCAGCAATGGCTTCAGCAGCTTCAATAGGGTCAGTTACCATTACTGCAGACAGACGGCCATCCGTCATTCAGCATGCTGCTCCAGTCCAAAGTCCTGTCCTGGGACAGGTTTCCATCACTGTGACTCCTGATGTAACCCACATGTTAGGGTCACCTCCAACAGAGTCAAACTCAGCTGCTTCAACTCCTTCCCCAACTGCTGACTGTGAGCCACCCATTCTTCATCATTCACAAGTCATTGTACATGACTTGAAACATCCAGCCCTGCAGCATTTGTATACTGGAAGCCTGTCACAAGTCCATTCTTCAACCCCTAGTCCTAGCAGTACTGCTGATGAGTGGGTACCACCAAGAGTAACTCAGTCACGCTCCATATATGCCCACTCAGAGTCCACTGTATATGGAAATCCAAAAGATAGTATTGAATCACCACTGAATTTATTGTATTCCAGGCGGAGCGTTGTTAAATCTGTGCCCTCAGGTGGTGAAGTCCTGGATCTGCGGGTTTCTCATCCTCGTAAACCTACAGTAAGCATAAGCCGTGTAACAAGTGTTGTTCCTCCTCATGTTAGTGCAAGAAATCCCATCAGATCAGCTCACAAAACCAATGGTGTATCTCCATTCCCCATTGTAGATGGACGAGCAGTGGTAGGCTCTAACTTGGAAATAACAGTTGTGGATGTTCCAAAACCATCACCTACATTGCAACAGAGACAGCAACAAATGCTACTACAACAACAGAGGACCTTGCAGCACCACAGGAAGTCTCTCAGCATCAGACCTGCACCATCAAATCGTCCTGTTTCCAGAAATGAGAATGGGAAGCACAACTCTCTTTCGATTACGCACATCCCCCCCCAGCGGAATAGCAGTCATACCAGTAGCAGTGCTCAGCTTGTGATTCCAAACCCGTACCTGTCATCCACCTCAGTAAGCGTTCGCAAAACCATAACAAGTGATGGGTCACGATCCCGACAACAGAAACCAAGCACCAATCCTCCATCACCTCAGTGTGCTACCCCCACTTCAAGCTCAATGTCTTACCTTCCTACAGGCTCCCCTGTTTTTCCTGGTTATCTCCCTCAGCTGTCACCAATATCTGGAAGTGGTGGAGGAAGTTCTGCATCAAAGAGTCCATCCCCATATCACCTTCCCTTGCTGGATCCAATGTATTACTCAGCACTATATGGTTCACATGGGCTTTATCCTCCCAATGTGGCTGCTGCCTTCCTTTCTCCGCTGCAGGTGGCAGCAGCTCCACCCTTATTTGCACCATCTGCAGAACAGCTGCAGCTGTACAAAGACTTGATGAGCCATCACAACAATCTGCGGTATGCTCAGCCTGGAGGCAGCTTCTTGGGTCTGCCACGGGATGGGTCTACATCAATAACACCTGTCGGCCAGCCAACACCCACAACAAAGTGAAAATATACAAATAATAGTTTTAATAATTGTAAGTAACAGCAGACCATATATGTTAAGATCTGTAACAGTCAACAGTAACACAAACTGCTAGTAACAATAGTGAACCAGGCCTACAGCTACAACATTGAGTTCATTGTGCCATACAGTATTTTCATCTGAAAACAGTGACCCTCTTCCAATATTTATCTATTTTTGTGATAGTCCACAGCTGCTGTGTGTAAATATTTTCAACATCTTGTAGCATAACACTGTAAATGTATGTCATATTTCTTCTTATTGATGTCTGATGGTGTGTTTGATACCAAAAGTAGAAAGTAAAATGTACATAAAACATTGTATAAATGTGTATCATATAATAAAAGAACAAGGCCTGAAGGGGTACAAGCTGGATAAAAATTGAATAGATACAAAGAGCACACAAAGTTCATTAGATTTGAAACTTGGCAATAAGAAAATTGCAGTCTGTGATTCATATTTTCTTTATGACCGTGCTACATGAGCAGAGTTATGTTATTACCTTGTTGTACTGTATAATAGCATAATCTGTTCCACCAAGTTATCATCAGTTATTAGAAAGGAAAAATAATAGACAGAGGAAATAATTTAACCCTTTGCGGTCCCTTTTAAATACCATTACAGCTCTTTGCTGGTCTATTTAAATACCACTAAGCTATGTAAATTCAGCTACTGTTATGAACTGATTTAATTTTCTTTTATAACTTGCATGAAGCAGAAGAAACTTTGCTAAATATGGTGAAAATATGTTCTGAAAGGATCACAGTTCCTACTGTTTAAATACCGACTGTGAAATATTTTTCACAGACTGTACCATTATCGCTAGTGAGATGTGTAGTAATGGTGCCTTTCTGCTTGCTGTCATTCGGTAGTGAATAAAGCAAGACCAAGTCCATAGATATGACTTTGGCGACATCTTAACATTGCATTGGATTTCATAATCTTAGAGCAATGCTTCCTTTCAAGCTTTTTGTGTTCGTAAGTTCTAGATCAAGTTCAACACCATAAAATTGAAACAGAATGCAAAGTGTAACAGATGAAGTCACTATACATAAAGAATGCTTGATAAGAAGAAAATGAATGTGCCTATATCAGTGGCAGATTGCTCTATGCATCAAATATAATTTAAAAAATTAGAATTTCTTACTAGGAAGATGAGATATTTGTTTTATAAATTTATCAGATATAAAATACTTCTATTCTAAGTAAATATGACAGCAGAATACCTAACAGTATTTCTTCACTGTATGATATATGGCAAAACACTCAGGGTAGAGTCGTTGCTTCCTCGGCCATGTGTCACAATAAAACATTGTTTCCCTCCTGCCTCCATTCATTATTATAAGGTTCACAAAGTATCACCAGGAAAACTTTGATAGCACTAGTGCACAGATGAAGGCTTAAATAATATGCTGCTATCCTCAGCTCGACTCCAGATCACGTATAAAATTCGTAAAACACATGGCGAACTCGGTCTGACATTGGACCGGATCTCGGATTTTTCAATATCGGACTCAGTCCGACATAGGACCGCAAAGGGTTAAGCCATACTCAGCACACTGACTTTGTTTTCCAATGTTTTATTAAAGTGTTTCTCAGTATTCCTTCAGTAGTTATGTATGTCCTAGAAAGTGTTCCTGTTTCTCCTCAACCTCCACATATACTTCTTAGTCATATTTCTGAAGACATTTTCGTACTGAAGTCCTTAGTCACTGTAACATTCCTGAAGTCATAACATTGATTCAGGTGAGGAGAAATTCAGTTTGCCTTGTAACTTAACAGTGTGGAAATGGTGAGATTTTAGATTCTCATAGTGGGAAGCATGATGATGACTGTCTTATGGGATGTTTCATCATGTAGTCTTTTAGAAGTTTACCAACTCTGATGGTGGAGGCAGTGACCACCTCTGAAATTTCACTAAACTTCCAGCAGACAACATGGCACCACATCCCATTATGGAAGTAATTTTTATACTGTGAGCTTGGGTATGATTTGAAATGCTATGCATGTCTGAAAACAGCCCAGCATACTATTAACATTTTCTCTTCTAGTACCCTACCTGCCATCAAAGTATGGCTCTTGAATCAAACATATACATAATTATAACATAGTTCTTGAATTTGGAAGTGTTCACTAATTTAAGTAGAGTGCCTAATATTAAATTATGAGAAGAATCAAAACATAAGCATATTAGCACTGTCAGAAATGTCAGATGAACAGTACTTAGTTGTCTGCTATTTACAATTGCTTTCAGTAATTGGTCTTGTGGTTTGTAATATCCTGCAGACTTTGGGTTAATACCAGTGTTTTGTAATGACATCTCCAAAACATTAGTATCTGCTTAAAAGTCCACTTGGCAATACAACCCAGAAGACCATCATTGACATCTTCACTGTAAGAACATCAAATCCTACATTTTCTGTGTTTGCACCTAACTACAGTTTTAAACCAGGCTGCTGTTTTAGCTGCATCATTAAAATGGAACTTATGATTTTATTACAAAACTGTAGTAATACTTGGATATAATTTGAGCCCAAAATACAATTCTAGCCACTGCGTTCAATGGAACATTATGATTGTATCACAAAGGTGTGACTAAAATTTGAGCCTCCTTATCAGTGCTTAAAAATTAAAATGTGTCTGCTACACAGCAAATAAATTAGCACTAAATTGTTGATAATTCAGTATATGTTACAGTAAAGAAAACCACAGAATTCTATTAAATTAAACTTTGATAAAACTGGCTTTTCATTTCTTGTGCCTTTTAAAAGAAGTGGCAGGTGGTGTTTTTATGACAAACTGAGTTATATTGATTGGTTATTAGTGAGATTTGTATGTGTTATTCAGCATCAGAACTATGTTTAATGGATGACATCATAACCTCATCTGAACCACCTGTAAGATTAACTGCAGTATTTGAGAAATACTTATTTATACTGCTTAACCTTCTTGAAACTTACATGCTTGAAAAGGAAAATAAGTTAATGCAAACAACAACAGAGTACCAATAACACAATAACAAGCATCTCAAAAAATTAGATCTTTCCAATAATAAGTTTGTAAGAAAATAAAATCATACTAATGTTTTATGAAGAACTTTCTAATTCACATGATTTTATTATAATGGAACAGTTGCTTATTATATATGTATGCTATTTAATTTTTATAAATAAGACAGTTTAGTCTCAGAAAAAATCATGTAGATATTTAATAAAAAATGTCAGTTGCATAATTTGCAGACAGCCTGCTATTTTCTTTTGTCATGGTAGGCTAAACTTATGGATATTTTAAACTACTGTTAGCAACTCAAGAGTGTGTTTGGACATCCCTGTGAACTTCCTTCATTTACCTGATTGAGAAACACTTTTCTTTGTGAAGGATTTTTGCTCAAGTCTAATTTAATTTTTCATCCAGTACATGGCTGTACTCTATGGTCACATTACAGTTACTGTGCTCTTGAATTGTTTAGTTGTGACTAATTGTCATATTACGTAATTATAACCTGTGAGATTTTTGTTTCACATATGTTTGGCAGGTTCAGTATTTATCCATGGTAGATACTGGACATGATTATGGAAAGCAGGTGTGTAACTTAATATTTGAGGTTATTATGTCAGTGCAGATGATGCTTGTCTTCTGGTTAGCAACGTCATGGACACTTCAGTCCTGAAGGTAGAAACATGTTTCTCAGAAATGTTGGTATCTGCCTATATGTTCACATGTGATTTCTGCCTAGAAGACCAACATCAACAGATTTATGACATTTATTTTTGTGTTCAAATGCAGACATACAAGAGAATAATAATACTGGTTTGTGCCAGGTGCTGACAGAATTAATCAATATTTGAATGACTGCTTTCACCCAAATATAAGGCAAGATATGTATATATTATAAAACTTACCATACAGTTTGAACTGGATTATAATTATACAAAGAAAATGGAGTGGCTTTTAAGAATTAGCTTTGGCGACTTAAGCAAAGTTGGTTGTGCCTTTCTCTGATTTATAATACTACATACTATGTTTTGTGGTATATTGGGCATTTGTGTTTGGCAATATATGATCTCCAAATATATATGTGGAATATATTTTTTGGTCTCCCCTCCAGTACAATATTTTTGTCTTCTGTATTCATGTACAAAACAATAACACTAGAAACAGAAAGATGATAATATCAGCAATCATGCCATACTTGTGACATTTTGAGTGTAGGAGGAGGGGGAGGACAACAGAGGGGAGCAATGTGTCCTTTTATAGTAAAATAATTAAAACAACATATGTATGTTATCTTAACTTTCTTCTAAATTTTATGTCCTCTGTGTTTGTTATATCTTGTTTTTAAAATTGATTTTTGGTACAGATACAGTAAGCTGATTTGTAATACCTGTCAGACATCCATAATTTAGCACCAGTTCTGTTACCTCTTTGATAGGTCTGTGAAATTATTCTGCGTGAAACTGACTGTAAAATTAAGACATGAAGGGTGAATAAACGTTATGAAAGCGTACTTAACCACAGTAAGGGATCAGACGATTTGTCATAGAAGATTGTTATTACTCTATTTGGTTGTTGCCGTGATAGGTGCACCATCCATTTTGTGTTATCCAATTTGTATATTGTTATCAAACATGTTAACCTAGAGCTATGGAATTTAATATCTGAACTTAGGAGTGAATGGACTGTTTGCATTGACAGAAGTTTGTCATTTGTGGTGTAAAGTTTTGGGATCAAAGATTGTTCTGCATTATACTTGAATTGCCATAGTTGCAGTTGGGGCTGTGTCCTTTATTCACCACTGCTCAAACACTGAGATGCACCAGTTTTTATTGAATAACTGAGTAGAAAGTACCTCCCTCCCAGTCAAATTATCCTGAGTTTGAAACAGGCTGGGACCTGTACACATTTGCCTCCCTTCTCTTCCTTCAGACAACATTTAAACTTTATTAATGTGGGAAATAGTGGGTTCACACCATGTCTCATGGCCAGTATTATGCAATAGGGCCCTTATACCAGGTTTTATCTCCATTGTCACCTACCCATAGGCATTAAACTTAATTCCACCCTGTGAGTGCCCATCTTTTGGTCCTGGTCTGTAACTCTTGTCAAGGAGACTGAATCAAGTTCAGATGGCCATAATTGGAGGAATTAATATAAGGTTTTGGAAGTTCTGATTAGTAGAGTCAAGGTGATGTATACATATGTTTCAGAATTTTTATTTTGGTAATAAAATGAGAATTTGTGTATGTTTCTGTGCTCATACCTTACATTTTGCAGACTTCACTACAGTGCTTGTAGGTGTTACAATAGATAAAAATAGCTCTGTGGGAGGGTGTGTTGTCCCACTTTGTAGAGTCATTTGTTTACCAGTTGCTGTATCTTCCACTCTCACCAATATGACAAATACTAAATAATCAGTTTAGTCTCAATTTCAAAGAAATTATGATTTTCCCAATATTTCATACTTTATTTACTGATAGTATGGTTTATATTTTCAAGTCAAACTGCTTTTTCAATATATTTGTTTAGGGGTTATGAATATCTACCTGTTTATAAGAGTAATGACTACCCCTGGGGCCCACAAATTTACTTTTCGAATGTATATTGGAGGCTCATTCCCCAGTGGTAAAACACTAACAACTCACCTACATTTGGTAGTGCTAAGGTTTAGAGTGCATGGAACTATAGATTCACTTCCCTTATATCTTGATGTTTTGTTGCTTAATTAAACATAGAGATAACTTTGCTGTTATCTTTAATAATTTTTGCATCACATAGTTGGTACAATTTTTTAACATTGTTTGACTTAATGCTTATGTGTGGACACTATATAGATGTATAATCTGGTGGAAAAACTTCTTGGAAGGTACCTACTGTAAAGATTCAAGATGGAGATGGGAGGGGGAATATGACAATGGATTTTGAGGAAATAAATTTTAATTGTTAAAGTGCATTGAACTAAACTGATCAGGCAGTAATACTAGTATTAAATTATTATAATTAATGGTAGTATCTTCTCTTGCTGTTCTTAAAAACTTCATGTGAAACATTTCACATGGCATGCATTAAATGGTGGAGAATGTTTTGCACAAACATTTTCATATGTAAAACTTATAATTGGTAAAAATAAAATCTGATCCATTAAGGTTCAAGATTTCCATGTGAAGCAGTGCAGTTACACAGCTCTGAAGAATACTGTGTGGGCATGTTCTTTGTGATCAGCAGTACATACTAGTTTGCAACAAAGGGTCGTGATCACTAACGGGTTATAGCAAAGAATGCAGGCTTTTTATGTTCATGTGCACTTCCATATTATAGAAATTGTTGCATGTCAGTAATATCCAGTATGACATATCATAAAATTTTGTGAAGAAACACTTGTTATATATTTGAGATATTACTAGTGACAGAACAAATTAAAGTTTTTTGTGTCTGCTAATAACAATTTATAATTATAAATGAAATTATCATCATTCGTTCATAAAGCTGGCCGTTAGGTTGGCTCGTTTTGGTCACAGCACTCGTGTCATTCAGTAGTCTTTTAAGAGGGCATTGAAATCATTGTCTTCCTTTTGGAGGGTATTTTGAATTTGTTTTTGGATTGTGTGGTCTTCCATAAATTAAATACCCATCAAAAATTACTTTCAATGGTCTTTAATCCACAAACAGTACACTGTTTGCCTTATATTTGGAGTGACTTTGATAAATACATTCTCTGAATTACAATTTATTATATGTTCATACTTTCCATAGTGATTCAGTACATCTTTATTCATACCTCTGAATTTAAAGCATAGTCATTTACCATTGCATATATTAATTTATTATGTCATCTTCCAAATGCTATTCACCATTAGTCATTATTTCCAGTAACTGTTGTCATGTCTTCCCTATTATTCATTCTCTATCTGGATAAGCTGAACACCTTTACCATTAACATCTGACCTACGAGTGAACAGTATCAGACATGGAAGATAAAGGTTAAGGGTATACTTTTAGTTGTTGTTTTTTACTATTTTATTCTTTTGTTACATAACATTTCAAAAACTGTAAAAGGAGTTGGTGATGTATTTAAAACAAAGCAGAAAGAATCAGTTTACTTTTCCAATATAACCACTTACATTAGACAAACCATATTTTAAGTGTTAGGTACAGGAAAGGTACAAACATAAGACTTCCATTTGTTTTCTGAAAAGATAGGCTGGCTTCCATGTTATAATTAGTCTGCTGTGGTTATTAGAAGCTTCAGTGAACTTCTGTTTGAAGAGTTGGTGTTTATTATGTTTACATTAAAATATTAGATTTTGTGTAAGTAAAACATTCTGATATAGCACGCACACTCATATAAACAGTAATGATCAGGATATCTGAAATGAGTTCTGTTGTTATTTGTTCTTTTGTTTATTTTGAATGTGAAGAACAATTCCCTGTAGGTAGATGTGGAATGAATGAAGCTTGAATTTGTTGAAATGAGTTGGAAAATATTTTATACTTCTATATGTATGTACTGCTTGTTTGGGCATTTGCATTTATAAATTGTTTAATCATTTTAGCTAAATGCCAAAGAAAGTGATTTTGTGATGAAGTAGTTTTTTATGTGCCAGTTTGAATGTGCTGTTCTTTAGTATGTGTAAAATTTGTTTTGTTTTTTAAATGTTTAACTGTTAAAAGTATTATAATTCATCTTTATATATCAACCAGATGATATAATGCATTCTTGAAAAGTAAACTTGGCTGCATCTGATTTGTGTTCAGAGATGTAGATAATAGAACATGTGCATTTCTCGTATGTGTGACAGACAAGCATGCTGCTCCAAACTTCATAGTGCATTTCAAAAATAAGAGTAATTTATAATTAGTTTAAATTCCATAGAAAGACAAATCACTCAGGGATCAGGCAACTTAATGCATTAAGTATAGCAAAAAAGTTACAGTGACAATGTACCAGCTATTCCTAGCGCGCACACACATTCTCAATCTGTGTCTTCAGTTTTTATGAAAATAGCAGCAGGTAACAAGTCTTGGCACAGAATGATGTAGAGTGCCCATATTGTATGTACTGTTACACATGTAAATCAATGTGTGATTATGTGTTCTTGTTAGTTGTTTGAATCAGAATAGCTACATCTGTAATAATGAAAAGTATATTATAAATTCTTTTACTTTTATAATAAAACTACATATACTCCAGCATTCTGGGATATTCTCTGGCTTTTCAAGACATTTTCAATATTGATCGGTTGCCAATTGTTAACAAGTTAGGGAATGTATACATGTCATAACAATTCTGGTGTTTGCTTTGTTATTACTTGTAGATTTTCAATTTACAAATGCTAATTTTTGATGTTCTCTTATAAACAGGTGGGATGAATTATTAACCAGAATTCCTAAATGGAAACTCAGTTCCTGCTTCAAACAAAATACAGCATGTTACCATTCCAAAAATTGAATGGCCGAACAATTTTTTCAGAAAATTCATTCAGCTTTTCTTAAGATGGATGGACAGGGAAATTTTAATAGGTACTCCATAGGCATGGGAATGTTCCTAGAAAGACTACCTACCGATGTACATTTTCTGTTTCTGAATATGTTATTACATTGGACAGTGGACCAGTAAAAGGAGCTTCGTTTAATCTAATGTTTTATGCTTTACCTGTTTCTACAGTGTTTAGATTTTGTTGAGCGTCATTCAGTTTCAGATTTAGTGTCAGCTTTATTTTCATGAGAATGATGATCATAATAGAAATTTTATTTTAGTTTTCTCTGGATCCAACATCTGGCTTTCTTTAATTAAACTAATATGGTAATCAAGAGGTCCTTGACAGTGTGAAATTTTGATTGCTTTTCCAATGCTGAAGTGAACTGAGGATGATTTATTACAAGGGCTTAGAAATTACTTGTAAGCAGCAGATGGAACATTATACATAATGCAAGTAATTTTGTTTAAAAACACAATCAGTGCCAAAGACCAGGAGGAAGTGTCATGTTTTAATATGAAATTCTACATATTTAAAGTTTTAATGTATTTTTCAGAGACTTGACAGCCCAGGATAATCTTGGGTATGGATGGATTTCTGGTGCAACTGTGAAGTAGATATATGTTTAGGTTTCATTAACTGGAAAATAAAGTCCAATGGCTTCCTACAGTGGCAATTGTAAGTTTCAAAACGGTGTTAACAAGATATGGCAGGTAAGGGAAAATTTATCTTTGTTACATATGGCATTTAATGTGGTACTTAGTGTTTCTCAACCTTCGTGGAACCGTCAACTCCCCCCTCAAAGTTATCTTTTCATTCTGATAGATAAATTATAGGTAGAAGGTATAGTTTTTTTTGTCATACTTCTTACTCAAGTGTGGACATGAACGATGGGGGGATCTACTCTACTCAGACCTTGCAAACCCCCAAGGGGTCTGTAAACTCCCAGGTGAGAAACACTGTAATTCTTGGCATTAACATGTTTCATAGTTACTTAATTTTGCAGGTAAAATTAAATATTTTATGAAAGAAATATGAATGTCTGAGATTTGTGGTTCTCGCAGTAGTGAGGAGCATTAAAAATTACCTACAAGACCACTACCATCAGAACCCAGGAGACTATGATGAACAGAAATAGACATACCTGTAGTGTAGTTGTCATATAATTTGTGAGTTACATTAAGTGGGTCTCTCATCACCTCTGAATGTCCTCAGGTCAGTGACATTTTCCTTCATGACAGTGGGTATCGTCCCCACCAGTCCTTACTAGACATAAGCCTAATAGGTAAACAGACTGGTGTATTCTGTCATGCTGGAAGTAAATATGTAATCATATTTTGTTTTGTTTAAATCATCTTGAATTTCTATCCATAGCTCTGTAACCATTGAGAATCTGACTAATGATTCTGTCCTGTAGTTTGATATTGAAACGTGAAAGTACACTCAGTTCTCTGCCTTTATTTGTAGACCAGCTTCCTTACTAGCTAGCATCTAATCGAGCTTGTAGTGTCTTTCTTTATTATATTTACATTTTAACCCAATAAATTTGAACTTTTTGACTCAAAATTATCCCAAGGGCATGCAGTTAAGCTTTGGACATTCTGTATATACTTCCCCACAATACCACTGAGATTCTTCATACTGTCTGCTGCTTACCAACCCCTGAACACAGAGCTTATTCCCTTTGGTCACCCACAAGCCTGCACCTTACACTATACTGGACCAGCCATTTACTCTATTTCTTTATTTTGATGACTTGAAAAATGCAAGGAAAGTTTTGGGTGGTTCCTTAAAATAGTCTATAACCTCCTCCTTCAGAAGTCATTCATAATCACCATGTTATTTCTCATTAGACAGTATATAACCAATGCAGTCCACATAATGTTAAATAAACAACAAGCGTTTGATGAATGGCACAGATTTATATTTTTACAACTCTTCATGATTGATATAGTCAAAGAAATGCTGTTTCTTCCCATTCATAAAAGAAATTACATAATTACATTACAGTAGTCACTGAATTTTTAACAACTATCCTAACATATAAAATTGTTCAGTGTTGAAACTAAAAGCAAGAAATAAGCAAAAGGAATGTTTTCATTAATTAACTATTAGTTTTTCACAATGCAAGGCCTTACCTATAACACAGTAAAGTGATTATATGTAATCTAGTTCACTTAGAAAGAACAGTACTATAGTATGGGAAAGGTCAGTAAGAGTACACATCGAACACAATTCTTTCCATAAACCACATTTTAATTAATAAACAGCCATATACATTGACTGCATAAACACAGAAAAGGTGATATTGAATTGGCGCTCAAGTTGTGTAATTAAGAACAGAGTATGGAACTTCCATTCTGAGCATTTGTTATAAAAATCATTTTGGTGCACTTAGCAAGGCATAAGTGTATAAAATTACAGTCTAGAGACAGGAAATAGATTCTTATGTTCCATGGACAAATGATTTTCAATAGAATAGTGGCATTCATCTTGTTATATCTTGATATTCAACAATGGCAACATTTCTACTTCTGTTCTCAGGACAGCAAACTTGAAAACAACATTGCATACGGAGACTTACTCTTACCCACCTTTCCCAAATATATAGCCAGTATATAAAGATATATAAAAATTTAAAGCCTCTTAGTACAGTTTGGAACCAATAAAGTAATGATATATAAGCATATACTGTATATAAACCCTGTTCAGGTATGTGACTGGTAACAAGTGACAAAACTGTATTATGTGGCATTTCAAAATTTTCACATTTGTTAGCCCAATTTTTGCATTAGAATTGACATAACTTTAAAAAAACCTGGAGCACTGTGAGTGTAAGATATTATTACACAAATTAGTAAAAATGTGCTAGAGTACATATCTAATCCTATTGAGCACAGTCCTTTTCTGAGAATGACTAGCTCAACCTATAAATACACTCCACTTTATGGAATCCATGTATGTCTGCCACCATTAGACATACCACACACACACAAAAGAAGTGTATATATAATTGTGTGTTACTATACCGGTTTCCACAATGTTTGAGAGGTGATGTAATCAGTAACCCCACCCTTTCTCCTGTAACCCACATGGTGATGGCTCTCTGTACTACCTGTTTGAAGAATGCTGAACTGGCAATGGAACTTACTTTATTGTTAAGTACACTTTATGTAAACATATTCCTTACAAAAGAAATGAACAGAAGAACAATGTGTTAACATGACAGAAAACAACAAATGTTGGTTGGAATGATTCATACAAATGTGCACAGAACAGTTAGTAGTATCATACTCCCTGATACTTCAAAATAATGAAAGACAGTTATGCCCCAAAAAGAATACCACTAAGCTTATGATTAACATTAAAGGTAAGACCATTTATTTAGTCCCATACCTCACCAAAAGGGCCTATAAAATGACATTGCTTACTATAGTATATTTAAAATAATGACAACAGCCCTTTCCACTCCACTGAACCTCTCAAACATTAAAGAATCAGGATTATTACTCTCTTTACAAATTTTTTACTAGTAGTGTTCACATTGCCAAGGTTTTTATTTCTAGAAATGAACCAAGCAGTTCTTTTAATTTGCTGTGGCAGTGGAGTTAATATTCTGCAAAAGAGGTGTGGAAAACATTTACAGTTCTAAAAGCATGGCATAATTAAGTATCAGCCTTACCCAGTTAATTTTATCATTGTATTTTAAAAAAACTTATTGGAAAGTTATTTGGCTTTATTCTCACATGTATGTATTTTTATGCTTGCACAAATCATGATCTGGTCCCTGATATAAAATAGATGTTCATGTGATTTGTCCTTTAACTCATTAAATGCAGAATGAATGACTATTAATTCTATCAGCTTATTAATAATAGTAATATGGTGCTTTACAGTGAAGACTCTACCATCATTAAAAAGAATCCAAAAAATAGGAATATGTAGAATGTGGAGTCTGAATTAAGAACTTAATGCAGAAGGAAAAACGTAGCTTACATGTGTATTATAATTCAATAAAACAGGACATGATATCTGTACACAGACCAACTTTACAATGTTAGAATCTATTTTCGCATGAAAATCACAATACTTTCCCTGTAGATCATTATTATCTGTGCTATGTACAAAACACAGTGTTTTGTATATCTTTCATTTAACTGTGAATTTTTTAAAAATATAGTTCAATAGGTGGCAAGCTGACAAAGTATTTTTACATGGCATTATGGCAAGTTCCTAATTTGAGCTAGAAGCTCATGTATACTTTAAACTCTAATGGCACAGTGGTGTATGTCTCCCTTGCCACATTTCTACCCAAAGAATGTTTATTTTATACCTTATGTACTACCTGAAAGTGTTATACTTTTGCAGTTACTGTGGAACCAAAGACAAGAACACTAGAGCAAGTTATTCTCCATGCAGGTGAGAAAGACCATGTTTGGATTTGTACGCTGGCCAACGACAGACTGGGCAGTGATGATTATCTCTGCCAAGCCATTCCATAATGCAGCATTGGTGATAGTTGTGGCCACATGGCAAGCCACAGAGAATGGTTCCCCATCGGTATGACTCAAGACAGACAGCACACTCTGTTGTTGGAAGCATCCCAGCTGGCAGGTTACTCGTCTCATCCCCACTCTCTTCAGAATATGACAAGCTGCCTTTCATGTTCCCTGAATCCCATTTGCTTGACACAGACGTATCTGAATCGGATGCTGTTAGATCACTGGGATGCCTATCAGAAAATGTCTGTCTGTTAATGCACAAAGAACATGATATCCTTGTTTGAACATTACCTGATCCAGCATTTTCATTATGAAACTGTATGTTTCTATTACTGTAAGT